GTATAAAACTTGATCACTCAATTTTGAATCCTCTTCTACTTTCAATATAGCAGAATCATAAGTATAATTTTCATCAATTGAAATTTTGAAAAAGAAACTCTGTATAAAATTTGATGCCATATAATTGTTAACTATGTTTTTTAGCATAGATAGGTGGGTTTGACCAAGTATGATATCTCTTGTATCTTTATGCATCATGTCTATATCAAAGTTTATATTCTTAAATTCGACATCTAACCCACCATCTGCAGATTCCTTCGATGGACCCTCGTATGCTATAGATAAATCTTTCATACCATTAAATCTCATCATAACATCTGGACCTGGCCATCCTAAGTTATTGAATACTTTGAATGAGTCTTCAGGAAGACCACAATTAATAACAGTGAGTGACAGTTCCTGAATAACAGAAAAGCATGATTTCAATTGGCGTCCAACATGGTTCATAGTGATTAGTTCAGAAACAAATTTTGTAATTGGCTTTACTAAATGATCGATAAACAACTCTCTAATATCTGCTTCTTTTGGATGTGTTGAGTCTCCAGTTGTAATAACTGGTAATTCCCCATGGATACCATCCATAAGTTTATTGGTTAAAACAAAGATTTCACCGTCGTTCATGCCATCCATTCGTTCAGAAACAAATGCTTCAAAAGCTTCGAAATTGGATTTGAAAATATCTTTGGTTATTAATTCAGCATTAAAGAAGCAACCATGTCTTGACCATTCCTGGAACCTCAGGTTGTTCTCTTTGAGTTTAGAACTATGATAAGCAGATGAAATGTTTTTGACCCTTAACTCAATAGACAAAACAAGCTTGTAAATTTTTTTGTAGTACCATGTTCCTTTAAAACTATCAATTTCCATGAGCTTTATCTTCTCATTCTCATCAATACAGCTAGTAATATGTTTGATACCAGTGACAAATGGCCTGAATAAAAGATTAAAAATGTCATAAGTCGCTGAATTAAAAAAGCTTTGTTAGTATATGTTTAAATTTTGACAAGCCCATAAAATACAATACCAACTCACCATCAATTATAACAAATTCTACTGGCTCTTCTGAAGCGACTATTGTAAACCCCTTTAGCATGTAATCACAGAAATCCGGCAATTCACTTATAGGTGTACTCAATAACCTAGAGCATCTTTTCAAAATCAAATTGCAACAATGTTTATCGTTTAAATCGAATCTTGGGAGAGATTCACCAGCCATTGTGAAGGTTGACAAAGTTAACTAGTACAGCTTGAAGGATAATTAGATGCATAAACATTCCATGAAAAGGGTTGATTATGTAGTGAAGATTTAATTATGTCTTTTGTTTAAAGTTCTCATTTGTGGCCGAATATCGCTGAACGGATGTAATCGGAACATCAACTATTTGACGACAATACCGCTAGAAACAAGAAGAAAAGCATCTTGCAGCATCTAGTAGAAGCTATTGTATAATCTAGTATCCACTACCTAGTATCTATCACTTTTAATAAAGCGTAATAGCCACTTGATCAATGTTTAAAACAATATTTTGCTTGTGTGGTCACATGACTAGGGCTTTCTCTGATTCTAGGCCCTGGGGAGATCAGACACAAAATTAAAACCAAAAAAACCAAAACAAACATAAACATCAAATAAATGAAATCAAGTCAACCTGAACATGCACCTATAAAGCACAGATTGAATCAAAGAGAACTGACGTTATCGCGGACTCTGCACATTGCTATCAAGTATTCATTGTTACAATTAAAATAGCTACCAATTGGCTTCCTTTCCATTCGTTTATTCGTATTATTTGCTATCAGTTCACTGCCCCTAATTTGTCCAAGCATATCAAAGAATTGTTATTCAACTCTAGGTTTACCGTTAAGTGAATATTCCCGCTGAATTTGATCTCATTTATTTATAATCTATGAACATTACTGAGAATCCTCATATTCAAGTTGTTGCTCAAATAGGTTCATCAAGTGCTGGTATTGATATCATTTCATCGTCTCGTGACAACAACAACAACAACAACAACAACGACAACAATTCATGGTTATCTTCAAGTATGAATTTACTACGGTTTGGTTCAATCAAAAAGAAGAAAGATATAGAAGATGATTCAAGTGCTGATACTTCAATTTCAATAGATTCACCAAAAGAAGATAGTATCATTATTGGTCATTGCAAATGTTGTGGATCTGTGGTTAAATATCCAGAATCTACAAAAAAATTTAAATGTTCAATTTGTCGTTGTATCATTAATTTAATACAATTACCTGATACAAATAATTATGAATCTAATGAAGCTTTAAGTTATAAATCTGTTAGGAATAAGATTAAAGAATGTCAAAAACAACAACATCTTAATGGTGAGACAAATCCTCATAAAATTTATAAACCTTTAGAAGAATATCTTATACATTGTTTTGGAACTTTTAAAATATTAAATAATTCTTTCAAATTAAATAAAAATGAATCTCATTTAAGACATTCAACTCCAAATATTAATTTTAAAGAAGTTAAAGATACATTTCTTTTGATTTTATCACTTCCAACTAAAAAACCATTTATGAAGTTATTAATTGCATCAAATGAATTATTATTAAGACCAAATGAATTATTAAGTTCAGCTTCAGATTTAAAATGGTTGTTAATCTTGTGGGAAATCCCCACTTTACCACAATGTCTTTATCATAGTAAAAAACAATCTTCAAGTCTTGATACCCCAGAAGTTAAATCACTTTCATACGAAATTACCAAGAAAATTATTGGGTTTATATCAAATTTTGATTATAATTCATTGAAATATTTAGCTGGTTGGTTTAAAAATTATTCAATTGATCAATTTAAACATAAAGTGGAATTTATAAATTTATACATTACTTTCCATTTAACAAGGCTTATAAATCAACACTATAAAGCCACTGGTGGTATTCATTCAAATATTAAATCTCCAAGAATTGAAGCTCCAAGAAGTCCTCAATATAATGAATATTCAGAATCACCAAAATTAAATAATACTACTAATAGTAGTAATGAGTCAAGACCATCATCATCTAATTCAAGACCATTTCTTAATTTACCAATTACATTTCATAATGGGTTTTCAAATTGGAGCTCATCAAGAAATATATTTTATGATCATTCAGAAGATTCAAAAATTATTGATTTTAAATTAAAAGTTGGTCATTATGGTAATGAATGGCATTTAAAATCTGCTTCAAGATTATTATCAGTTTTGAATGTTTCAAATAAGGGGAAAATACCAGATTATTCATTTTATAATTCTTTAGTTGATTATATTAATGTTAAACAGGATTTTGAAATGTGGCAAAATTCTTTCAAATTAACATCTTCAAATTCAAAAACAACCTCAAATAAATTAATTTTAGATCTTGCAGGTTTCACTGCACCACCAAAAAGAATTCCTCAATTTACAATATGTCAATTCCCATTTTTATTATCATTAGGTGCTAAAATTTCAATTTTAGAATATGAAGCAAGAAGAACAATGGAAAATAAAGCTGAAGAAGCTTTTATAAAAGCACTTGATAAAAAACAAGTTTTAGATGTTCACCTTCGTATTAAAGTTAGAAGAAATCATATTTCAAATGATTCATTACGTTGTATTAAGGAACAAAAAGATGATTTGAAAAAATCTTTAAAAGTTGAATTTATTGGTGAACCAGGTATTGATGCTGGGGGATTGAAAAAAGAATGGTTTGGTTTATTAACTAAAGAATTATTTCAACAAGAAAATGGAATGTTTTATTATAATGAAGAATCAAAACTTTGTTGGTTTGCAGTTTTACCATTAGAAAAAAATGATGAATTATATTTCATGCTAGGTGCAGTATTAGGATTAGCAATTTATAATTCAACTATATTAGGTTTACATTTCCCCTTAGCTCTGTATAAGAAAATTTTAGGTAAAAAAGTTGGAATTGATGATTATTTAGAACTTTTCCCAGATACTGCAAGAGGATTATTAAAATTATATGAAATTAATAATGATGAATTGGAAAATTTAGATTTATTTTTTGAAACAACATATAAGAATTATTTTGATGAACCAATAACAAAAGAATTAATTCCAAATGGATCTAAAATTAAAGTTAATAAATCAAACCTTGATAATTATATTAATGAATGGGTTAATTTTTATTTAAATGATTCAATTGAATCACAATTCAAAAATTTCCAAAATGGATTTCATAATGTTATTGGTGGTAATTCATTATCATTATTTTCACCAAAAGAAATTGAATTACTAATATGTGGTAATAATGATACTTGTAAAATTGATATCAATGAATTTAAATCAATTACCAAGTATCAAGGTTGGTCAACAAGAGATTTAGCAACTAATTCCACATTGATTAAATGGTTTTGGGAATGGTTTGAAAATTTAAATTATCAACAACAAAAAAAATTCTTACAATTTATAACTGGTAGTGATAGAATACCTGCAACTGGTATACATACAATGAATATAAAAATAACTAAGATGCCAAATTATGGGCCTTCAATTATGAATAAATCTAGTTCAAGATTACCAGTTGCACATACATGTTTTAATGAGTTATGTATATATGGTTATCAAACAAGGGAAGAGATGTGGAATAAACTAGATTGGGCAATCAATGAAAGTAAAGGATTTGGATTAAGATAGATTTATAGTATAGTATTAAAGTAATCTTTAATATAATTATATCGATAACCAGTATTTGTCTATGTAATTATATCTCTTTTTAACTAATGGCTTAATTTATGTGGTATATTCAAAAATCAATTGTTCTTGTCTTTCTAGGACATTATGCACCATCTAATAAAGTAGATCAACAACATAGACTTACTTGCTAGACTTTTGAGGAACCTTATGTTTTAAATATCTAGCTTATATATTGTATCTCAGGTTTCATGTAGCTCCTCAAATATTGTCGTTACACTTTCAAAGGTCTACGATATCTTCATTATAAGTTTATATAAGACGTATTAATTACACTTAATACACACGTAAAATAAATAGATAAATAGATAAATTAACCAAGCTTCAATCATTCTTTAGACAATCTAATTCAAAATGCTAATCAATGATTCAGAATATCAGAAACTCTATTCAGTTCTTTCAACAATTTATAATCTTCACAAGTTTCACCATCACATTTGGTAAAAAATTTAGCATTATTGAAATCCATCATATAGGTCTCAGAACCAATACAATATAATGTTTTAACTCCAAGTTTGTTATGATGAATTTTGAGTTTATGAAGCCTTTCAATTTGTAATTTTAAGTCATCAATTTGGTTCTCTTCAAAAGGTTTATATCTCAGTGTGTCCTTCTTTGGAATTTGAAAAGCAATATATGGACCAAGATTTCTGTATTCACCATTTAGAATAGTAATTCCATAACCATGTTTCAAGATTGAAGGGATTCTGATAATTTGCTCAGATGCTTGCGTTAAGTTATATGACCTGACAGTATCCAATATTTTCAACTTCTCCTTGTGACTTTTGATGATTCTGGTCACATTGTTGTTAATTTGTCCATCCCGAGGAGCAACTTTTAGTTCTTCAAATGGTGATACCTTCAAAAACCAAGATTTGTGCTCTTGAAATAAATTATACCCTTCAATAGCAACCTGAAAAGTCTCTAAGTCTTGTTCACCTAACGACACATCATAATCTTGAAAACTTTTCTTAAATTCATCAACACCACATGCCAATTTAAACATACTTGAAGCTGATGTTAGATTTTCATAATAATCATAAGATGTAAGAAATATTTGGTCCAATGCTTCATTTTCAAAACCATAACCTTCTGGATCAATAAATGCATCATCATGTTCATCAGAAAGCTTATATCTTTTGAATGGTGGTTCTTCATCACAACGAGAGTCCAATGAGGGAATACTGCCACTTAG